AGACACTCTCCTCCTTTGAATGCTTTCTTTTTTTTTTTTTTTTTTTTTTGAGAGGGAGTCTTGCTCTGTTGCCAGGCTGTAGTGCAGTGGTGCCATCTCAGTTCACTGCAACCTCCATCTCCCAGGTTCAAGCGATTCTCCTGCCTCAGCCTCCTGAGTAGCTGGGATCACAGGCATGCACCAACAAACCCAGCTAATTTTTGTATTTTTAGTAGAGACTGGGTTTCACCATGTTGGCCAGGCTGGTCTCAAAAGCCTGACCTCACATGATCTACCCACCTTGGCCTCCCAAAGTGCTGGGATTACAGGCATAAGCCAATGTGCCTGGCCTCCTCCTTTGAATTCTAAGGCAGTATCCTTTTCTGGTTTCCTTCTACGTCTCTGGCAGTTCTCTTTTTCCTTGCTCTCCTTCCGATGCCTACATTTTAAGTATTGGGGTCCCCAGGGCTCTGATGTTTGGCTTTATTCTTTTATCTCTATCAGGTCTCCCTGGGTGATCTTATTCCTTCCCATGGCTTGGGAGTCTGTGGCAGAACCCTTCCATCTGTGGATCTTACCCCAGCTTTTTCAAATCCTCAGATACTGTAGAGAAGGTAGAGACTGTTTTAGATCCCAGGCTCTTGGAACATTCCGTTGACTGCTTGCTATCTATGGACTTTATGTGAGCAGATTCAAAGGAACAGCCTTTCACTAAAGGTTTAAGTCTCGATGTGGTATCTTCTTAAGCTTCTCCCTCTTCTGTGTCCTTCCTCCATGTCACTATACCATCCTATAATGCTGAGAACAGAAAGGGGCGGGTTAGAGGCGTAACTTCTGTTGCATGTGGTCTTTGTGTCTTCCTGCATTCCATGGTCTACAATTCTAATAAAGCAAGTAGTCTGTAGTTGCGGTGAAGGCTTGTGAGCTTTGGAGTAAACAAGACAGCCTGGACATGGATCCTGCCTTTATCACTGTATTCTGTAACCTCTCCCTCCAGACACTTCCTTCCCATAGCGCTGTGGCTTGAGACTGGGGATGATACTAAATCCCCAGCTTCCTCTTTTCCTTGCTTGCCCCTTGTTTTGCTGACATCCCTCTTCCTGATGCATCCTAAGACGGGGACAAGCAAGGCAATTTTTTACACATTTGCAAACAATTTTATTTTGCCCTTACAGTGGGTTGATTTTTTTTTAGATGTAGATTTCCAGGTTGAAAAGTTGCCCATCCAAATGTTGAAGGAATTGCTCTGTACAATAACAATAGTGGTATTGTTATAGAGAATGATTCCATTGTCTTTCTGTTCACTGTTCCTTTATAAATGTATCCCTCTTGCCTGGAACCTCTTAGCATCTTCTCGTTATCCCCAGGGCTCTGGCATTGTGTAATTGTGTGCCTTGATATATATATATTGTGTGTGTGTGTGCATGTGCACATACATTCATATTTGTGCACTTGTGTTAATTATGCTGGAAACTGGGTAAGTAATATGGGTGAGTTTCCATAAGTTTTTTGGTTTTCCATTTATCTCTTCTATTCATATTCATTTTCCCTGTCTCTCTCTTTCTCTCTGGGATTTCTTTTAATTAGATGTTGGATCTCTTTATCAAACCTTTGATTTTCTTATCTTTCCTTTTTCATTTACCACCTCTTTCCTCTGTTTAATTTTCTGGAAGATTTCTTGACTTTATCTTCCACTGTTTTTTAACTTTAAAATTTCGATGATCATAATTTCCAAGGGCTCTTCACTACCCTCTAATTGTTCATGTTTTAAATATTGCCTTGTTTGTGTAGATGCAGTGTTTTCACTGACGTCTCTGAGGATATTAGTAGTTTTTTTTTAGAAAGTCTTCTGCTTCCTGCATTGCCTCTGTTTCCTGCAGGTCACTGATTGTCTACTCGTCTTGTGCTCTCCCATGCCGGAGCTTTGCTGAAGTGCCTGGTGATCCTGAACTGTTTCTTCATATTTAGGAATTGACCCCTAGAAAGCTAGTGTGATTCTGCCTTGTGTGCATGGGTGGGGCCTGCCAACTGGCAGGCTTCACTGTGGCATGATCACAGAATGAACTTGACTTTCCACTGGGAGATCCCCAAATGTCCATACCGAGAAGTATTTTTTGAAAGAATTCATCCAGAGATGCATTCTCTAATCTCCTGCAGGGTGCTGGTATGAAATGAGATTGGGGTGATGGGGAGGCAGGGTTGCAGGAAGAAGGGGCTCAGCTTCATGCCTCATCCCAGCCCTCCCCTGAGCCTTCTGGGTTCAATGTCTCTGGGTAAACCACTAGAGTCCTGTGGGAGGGGAGCAAGGTGATGGTGGGGGCACCTTGTTCCTGCCTGGAGCCTCACTCCACCTCAGCCTTCCTGGCTGTCTTATCCTTTCACGTAGTGATCCTTTCCAGCAGAACTGGCTGCCTGCAAATAATCCCCCTGCAGTCCTGTTGGTCATCTCTTCTTCCACTCTTTCCTCTTCTCTTGCCTCTTTCGTCTTTTGACTTTTTAAATTCCAAAATATCATTGAACTATCTTATTTTCTCTTATCACCTCTCTTCCTCTTTCTCTTTGGGCACACACACATATATATGTATTTTATTATACTTTAAGTTCTAGGGTACATGTGCACAACATGCAGATTTGTTACATATGTATACATGTGCCATGTTGATGTGTTGCACCCATTAACTCGTCAATTACTTTAGGTATATCTCCTAATGCTATCCCTCCCCGCTACCTCCCTACAACAGGACCCAGTGTGTGATGATCCCCTTCCTGTGTCCAAGTGATCTCATTGTTCAATTCCCACCTGTGAGTGAGAACATGCGGTGTTTGGTTTTCTGTTCTTGCGACAGTCTGCTGAGAATGATGGTTTCCAGCTGCATCCATGTCCCTACAAAGGACACGAACTCATCCTTTTTTATGTCCGCATAGTATTCCATGGTATATATGTGCCACATTTTCTTAATCCAGTCTGTCACTGATGGACATTTGGGTTGATTATAAGTCTTTGCTCTTGTGAATAGTAGGCACATATCTTTTTTGATTTTTTTTTTTTTTGTATTTTAGTAGAGGGAATGTTTAGTATATGTTTGAGGAAGGAAAGGTGATAAAAACCAGGGCTTAGTTTTCCCTGTTTAACTGGAATTTGCTGTAAAGTTTTTCAAAAAGTTTACAAGGTATTTTCAGGAACTGTCTTCTTTTTTGCAAGGCAAGTGATTATTGCAAGTTTTTGGGCAACCACTTGCAGCTACTTTTCCACACGGTCTCCAAACACAGTCAGACGTTTGTCATGGATTGGAATAAGCCTGTCTGTGCTGATGGAGTGGAATTCAGGGGCCTCTGTTTGCATTTACCAGTCTCCCATTTAGTTCTGCCTCATTGGTGCTTCACCTCACTATTTGATGGGAAATATTCTCTCCATAAACTTCAGTAAGATGTAATGGATTTCTGCAGTGGAAATATTGTTCAAGCTGCAAAACTGAATCACAGCAGGCACTTTGTCTGGGGACTGTGTGTCTAGCAAAGCAGCCATTTAAAATGCCAGTTATATGAAGCCACGAACAGTCACAGCTAATTCACTTTACAGGAGTTTTATTTTTATGTATGGGAGAACCACGGCACCAAACAGAATAATTTTCTACCAAGACTGCAGCATTAACTATCTTTGCCATCTCAGGCTTTTTGAGTAACTGTATGTCCTTACTGGATTTCTTCTTTGGGTTAGAAAGAAGTGGGAGTGAAGCTGGGGTTGGTAAAGACACAAATGATGTTCTTTGAAGCCGTTGGCTCAATGTGGTTATTCAAGAGTGGGACAGCTGACCCAGCTGCCGGTATGGAGATCATGATGCAGCTTCATTACTGTCATTTGTAAAACTTGGCTCAGGTTAGGCCCAGGCCCACAATGGGCTTATCTCCCTGTGAACAAGGGAGGGTTGATGGCTGAGTGCAGTAAAAGCTACAGGACACTCCCCTGGGAATCTGGTGGCCAGCTGGAGAGGCTCTGGGTCTTTGAGCCACTCATCAGAGATTCTTGATCCTGATTGTAGATGGGACTCACCTGGGGCGCTCTCACAATCTGATGTCCAGCTCGCACTCCCAGACCAATGGAATCAGAACCCTTGGGGATGAAATCCAGCATCAGCCATTGTTAAAGCTCCCTAGAAGAGGAAGAGCAGGGTGTACACTACTGCTAGGTCATTTAAAAAATCCTATTGTTGCTACATAAGAAAACAGATGTATTTAAAACTCTTATTTTGAACTAATTTGTACTTGGGAGAAAGTGAAAGTAATTTATGCCAGGGTCATTTAAATTTACTTTGATTTTGCAGCTGTTTCCATGGTTTGATGGGTGAGTAATTATCAAGAAAGAGAATTTAGGGTGGTTCTCTGAATTCAGAATGCAGAGCATTTGAGGAATACTATTCCAGTGGATTTTGCTAATAAAGAAAATGTGGGCTGGGTGTGGTGACTCACACCTGTAATCCTAGCACTTTGGGAGGCTGAGGTGGGTGGATCACTTGAGGTCATTAGTTTGAGACTAGCCTGGACAACATGGTAAAATCCTGTCTCTACTAAAAATACAAAAATTAGCCAGGCATGGTGGCAGGCACCTGTAATCCCAGCTACTTGAGAGGATGAGGCACGAGAATCGCTTGAGTCCAGGAGGCAGAGGTTGCAGTGAGCCGAGACTGCACCACTGCCTTCCAGCCTGGGTGATGAAGTGAGACTCTATCTCATTAAAAAGAAAAAAAGAAAGGCAACCTATAGAATGGAAAAAAAATTATAAGCCACGTATATCTGATAAGGGGTTAATATCTAAACTATACCAGAAACCCAAACTCAAACAACTGAATCTCTCTCTCTCTCTCTCTCTCTCTCTATATATATATATAAAACACACCCACCAAAAAAAAAAAAAAAAAGAAAATGTTTGTGATGGGAACAGTAGTTGGGGTGGTCTCTGGATGGGGCTGGGAACTGGCCGGATGTGACGTCACCAGGTCCTGCATCTCTCTTGGTGTGTGCAGGTCCCGTGGCTGTCATCAGTGGCGAGGAGGACTCAGCCAGCCCACTGCACCACATCAACCACGGCATCACCACACCCTCGTCACTGGATGCCGGGCCCGACACTGTGGTCATTGGCATGACCCGCATCCCTGTCATTGAGAACCCCCAGTACTTCCGTCAGGGACACAACTGCCACAAGCCGGACACGTGTAAGTACTGGGATGGAATGCTCTCCCTCCTGGGGAAGGGAGGGTGGTTGGTGATAGACCAAGTACCTGGGGTTCTGGAACCTTCTAGGGTGACCTACTACCTGCCAACCTCCCACTTTCTAAGAGACCCTCCCTGTTTGTCTCAAAAACTTGAAGAATAGCCTGAGCCAGGAGTCCCCGGGACCAGAGTCCTCTGGGAAGGGGGTGGACTGTGGGTCTGAATCTGCTTCCCTCTTTTCTTCACCTGGGCTCAGCAGGACCCTTGGTGCTGAGAGGTGCTCCCAATAAGGCAGGAGACACAGTGAGGCTGTTCTTCTCTCTAGACCTGGCCTATGTAACTAGGAAACATAACCTGACTCTGTTTAGACAGCAGCCCCTGAGCTTAGCAGAACCTCCACCCAAGCCTCCATGAGGGGAAAGGGAATAAAGGGCGGTGAGTACCTTTGAATGGAAACATCTCTCTAGCTGCCCCTCCAGTGCCCCGAGGTGTGCACTTTCTGAGAATCAGATCACGGCCCCAGTGCTAGGAACTCTCACCTCCCCACTGCAGAGGTCTCACTCAGACCAGAGGGCTCAGGGCACCTGTTTCCCTCTCATCTCCCAACCCCTCTCCTTGTCCTTCTGCTGAGCCCTGCTAGACCCCCTCTCAGCTCCTGGAGCCTCAGTGACTTGGCTGTCCATCCAGCAGGGTTCCTCCTGCTGTGTGCCCAGGTTCAATCTGGGCCCAGCGACACCCAAGCACACCCCCACTCCTCCTACTGTTCCAGCCCCCAGGAAATTATCCATTGCATCAGGAGAGAGCACAGCAGCTCCTGGAGAACAGGGACACCCGTGCCTGCCTGAGAGCTGGAAGGACAGAAGTGATCAGCTAGGTTGAGGCCTCACCTTACAGACAGGAATACTGAGGCTCTGGGTGGCTGCCCCAGGCTTCCAGCCAGTGGGTTCTCTTCATGTCTCAGTGGGTCGCAGAGTGGGCCTAGGAAGAGGCACTTTCTGGTCTTGCTCAGCCCCTAGGCGGAGGTCTCTGTGCTTGGGGCACAGTCTTTGTAGCTCACAGAACTCTTGCTGCTCCTGCTGGTTCATCCTGTAGCAAAGTGGGCATTGGGCTACCGCCATCAGCCTTTGCTTCATTTCCCTGGCTCTGAGTTTTAGGAGAGCATTGTCACAGTGGGAGGGACTGGGCTTGTGTCAGCATAAGGTCATCATTTGCCTCCCAACCTTGAGTGTTCTCCAGAATCTGTCTCTGTGTATCAGATGCTCCCTGTCAGTATCAGAAAAAGGACACCTGGGTTCTGGACCAGGACTGGGCAAGGAAGAGAGATACCTGTTTTTCAGATAAACCATGGGAAGCACAGAGCAAAGATTAGTTCACCTTTGGCTAAATTTCCTGTCTCAGATCAGGCTCACCACTGGACTGGCCTGGGTGGGGCTGGGAGGAAGGACCTTCTATGGTGATAGCTGGGTCCAAGCTCAGTCTAGGGTTGATACTGAGTTTTCTAGGGTGCTGTTGGTATTTGAGAAGAGACCTAGACATTGCTATGTTCAATATACAGTCAGTTCTCATTATCTGTAGTAATTGTGTTCTGTGAAGCTGCTGTGAACACTGAATTAGTGAACATTGAACCATTGCTCCTAGGGAAGACATGAGGTTAGGTTCCTGTGAGCCTTGGGTCACATTTTATCAACCAGCCAATACATAACCTTGTCATATGTTTCAGTTTAAAGACACTTTATTTAATACATATTGTTGATTCATTAACATTGAACTCATGGCCATGGCCACCGTCACTCTTCCTGAGCAAAGCTTATCTAACACATGTATTTTTTCCGTGAGGCACATCACAGCTGTCCCGTGCTAAGGAACACTAGCCAATACTTCAGAACGATGCTTAGGGGCCGTACTAAACTGCACAGTCACCAGCAACAAGCACAAAAGTGTAAAAAAGGATAGTTGTTTACAGTATGAGAGCTGAAACAAGAATTTTAAAACACTGTTGTACGTGATAAATATGACAGATGACAGGTTTTTTTTTCCAATTAAAATAAATGTTTTTTTTTTAAAAGACAAAGGACGAAGGCAGATGTCTCCTTGTTGAGCCTCAGCTGGAAACGTGCCCCTAGGGTCACATTTTGTCACTCTACACATGTCCCTAAAGGACCATGAAAGTGCCTTGAGTCTTGGTTTTGGTGTTGCCAAATACAAAAATTGGTGAATAATGAATTCCCAAATACAGAATCTGTGAATAATGAGGTGAATTATTTAGAAAGTAGGTGAATTCCCAAATACAGAATCTGTGAATAATGAGGATCCCTCTGTCCTCTTTAGTGGAAGCTCTGGATTTCTGGTGCAGAATATGATCTTGTGATCATATCTGCTCACAGAAGCTCCTGATACCAGGTTATCGGTACGATTGCCAGATGGGATGACTCTCTGGTGTGTTGGAGGCAAGTTTCCTCTGGGCCATCAGAATAAGTGTCCCCATGGAAGACTGGGAGCCATGGAGAGAGCTATGGGGCCTGGTGAGCATCCTTTGGTGTCAAAACAAAGCATACCCAAGGACTCATCACACTAGGCAAACCATGTGGAGGAAATCTTCCTGCTAGAGCCCTCTAGATTTGTGACTCAAAGTGGCTATTCTAAGGATCCAGACAGTTCTTCAGTGTAAACAAGAAAAGGTTGGTGAAAATGGAAAGACAGCAGGTTTATTGATGAGACTTGAAGGAGCAAGGGAAACAAACAATGGCTTATCAGAGGAAAATCATGCGATGACTCCAGATCATCAGAACCCCCTGATGCTGGGGAAAGTAGCCTTTTTAGAGAAGTGGGACATTTTGTTCTATTAATAGACAGCGAATGGCTCTTAATTGTTTTAGAAAACATGAGTGGCATGACAGACCATGAGCAGGAGCATTGTGGCTGCATTTGTCTAATCCTCCCTCTGCTAATCCTTTGGTGACTCACACAGACAGGGTGAAGGGGGGCCCAGGCCAGTCCTCAGTGGAGATTTACTGGCTGAGCCAGCAGCAGGTCTCTGATTAACCACGACTTCATCAGTTGAGGGAACAGACTCCAAGACACATCCCTGTGTGCGATGAGACACTATCATAAATAATTAAAGCCGCATGCATCTTGGCATATAAATAAGTGGAGAGCATTTATGGTGCGGCAGACAAGGCAAGGGTCACTCCTTTGGGGGGATGGCAAGAACCAGGAAGATTAAGAAAATAAAAATGCTCACATTGTGAATCCCCCAGGGGGTCTCCTCATTCTGATTCCCCTCTTTGTCCCATTTAAAAATGTGTAATGTGGGGTGGAATTGCATGAACATAATGCTACCTGACTTCAGGCCTCATTTCCCTGTCCCCCTAGTGATGGATTAAGCCCAAATGTGCTTTTCTTTCTGTACTCATGTGTTTATCGTAAATGGTGGGATATTTCTGATGGAAATGATTAGGATGCTGGTCCTTTCCTTGCTTCTCACTTTCTATCTGCTTTCAATCTGGTCCATAGCATTTTTCCTAGCATGTCAGGCTGCAAGGATATTTAGAGATCACCTGGTACAATCCCTTATCAGATGCTTGTATCCCCACACCTGTGTTCCCAACAAGGGCTCTGCGTTTGACATTGTCTTTATTCTGCATTTATTTAGCCTTTCCAGGGATTCCGAAAGAGCTGAATAAAGATGCTCCTAGTTGGCAATGTATACTGAACCCAAAACCTAATAAAGCCCCCCTCATTATTTATGTATAGCCCTCTGGTTCTTGAGAGCATCAGGAAATGGATACAGCCCTCCTGGTCACATAGCTGAGGACCCTAGACTTTGGGCCAGGTCCGACAGAATGAGATGTCAAGGGACCACTCCAGGTAGGTCACTTGGGAGAAGCTAAAAGTTATTTGTAGCAACACTGGACCCTCAGTTACCTTTGTCACCCGTGTGGCAGCTCTGGACTGCAGTAAGCTGTTCATGGGTGAGGGTTGAACCGCTTGCTGCTGTCTCAGGAGTCACACATTGGCCCTTTCCCACAGGCCAGTTGAAAGGCTTCTTGGCTTTCTTTAAGGCCCTGGAGTTCTCTGTTCATCCTTTTCTCTCCAAACCCATACTCTTGGTTGAGAAAGCGGAGACCATCTGGGGAGAGGTAACTAGTTTCCTTCTTCTGCCTCCACGCCGTCCTTCTGTCCTCGGGTGTCGGTGTCAGCCTTTGCTCCCATGTTGTCCCGTCTCAGAGGAAGCAGCATCTCCACCTTCCCAGAGTCAGCCCCTCCAAGCCTTCCCAGTCTGGGCCTGCAAAGAGGACCTGTCTCCATCCTGGTCGGCCTGCCCTTTCCTCTCTTCTCCCTCTTGAGGTAGTCTCTGTCTGCTCCTCTGTCCACCACCACACCTCTTGCAGGTCTCTGTCCTGAGGTCTATCTGTTTCTTTTTCCCTAGGAGCCCCTCCGCGCTCCATCTGTGATCACTTTGCAAAACCTGACCATGTTCCTTTGAACCTCCTTTCCCCCTGAGCATCCGAGTCACTTTCCACTGTGCTGATTTTTCTCCTTTCATCTATTTAATCCATGTTTATTGAGGGTTTGTGTCAGCCTTTCTTTTAGGCTCTGGAAATAATGGGGAACAAGGGACACATGCTCTCCAGCCTCAGGGGCTCACTGCCAACCATAGCTGATTCCCGAGACGTGGGATGGTGCCCCCTGCTGCAGGACCACTCAGAGCACCTGTGCCCTCCCTCCCTCTCCTCCTGTCTTTCTCTCTCAACTTTCTGCTGATGACTTACCAGCCTTTATTCCTTCTTTCCAGATCATCCGTCCCACACCTCCAGCCGCTACCTTGAAATGCCCATTTTCCCTCCCGACCCTGACTCCCTCTCCTTTCCTTCCACACTCTGTTTATCTTTTAACACCTCTTTCATTTCCAGCTTCTTGTGAATTCTTCCTAGCCCCATGCTATCCCAATGGAACCTTTCTTTCCTTCCTTCTAACCCATAGCTTAGTCAGTGCCATGCCC